TGGGAGCACAGTTTGGCAGACTGAGTAAACTGGCTGTGTAGCTTATATTTTCTTCACAAGTGTCTCCACAGCAAAAACAAAAAGTAAGAAACCCCCACTGGCCACAATAACAACAGAGAGCTTTTTAATAACATCATTTTCACAAATGCACCATGTTCTGATGCTTTAAAAAAGAAGCAGCTTCGTGCTGCATCTTCTGTTTTCAGGCCCAGTGATGTGGGAACATCCCAGCCTGATCCTGCACGGGGCCTCTCCTGAAAATAAAGACCCTCTGGGAACTTCCTGGAAGCTCCAGGTCAGAAGATTTTGTCTTTGACTTGTTCTGTAATGGCTCTTTCAACCTCTGGGGCTATCACATTTTCATCTTATATATATCTTTAATAAAACCAGGAGATGAGAGAGATGGAAACAACACATCTCAGTGGGATACAATTCAAATAAAGTTGTTAATAATAAATAATATATTTAGTATTTATACTGCTGCTACAACCTGAGCCTGTGATTATGGGCAACGCTGAGATAAATAGATGACAGGAACAGAGGACAGCAGTGAGGCCATTAGGATTTGAAATTTGCCACGAGGCACAATCAGGTATCTAAATAATAAATATCACTTTGGTTTCTTGGAGCCTGAACCAGACAAGATATTAACCCCGAGAAGTCAAATTCTGAAATGGAAAAGGGAACTCAACCTTGATTAAAGATGCAGCAGAGCTCCCTAAGCAGAGCTGCTGCCTTCCCTTGTGGACAAAGAGCTTTTTGTTTTTCAGGCAAAAAAATATTTATTCTGCCTTTCCTTTTTAAATTCTGAATCAGGCTCCATTTCTGTATCCTGGATTTTAAGGTGTAGTGAAGTTTTCTTGGTCAATAAGAAGCTTTTCTGTTGAAAAGGAACATGTCAGTAATGTCAATGTGGGCAATTTTGGAGGTAGAGCTGCAGGAACTGAGATTTAATGCATCTCTTGGAGTTCTGGTTGCCAAGGTTTTAACGTGGCAGCAGCAGCTGTTCTCACCTTTCCAAATGATTTTTTGAAGTGAAATTGGTACATTCATTTTATTTCATGACCTGGCAACTGGCATCAAGGACAAATTATAGTTTAGAGGGTTATATCAAGGTTTTGTCTGCACTTCCAGGAGGATCCCAAGACAACAATCTCATGATTACAGAGACAAAACTTATTCTAACTTGTCTAGTTAATAAAAATTACATATTTGCTATGAAATCTTGTTCTTCAATTGCTACAAAAAACCCACACAAAACACTCCTACCCACAGTACATGACATTAACTTTGATCTCCACAGTATTCTGTACTTTGCCTGACCTTTCCTTCCCTCCTCACAGGTGAACTGGGAAAAAAAAAAGGGGAGAGGTGGAGCAATTGGCCAATCATACCAAGGCACAGATCAAGAGCATGGGGAACACTGATATTCTTCACAGTCATTAAAATTCCTATATCCTGTTCTTATATGAAAAAAAAAAAAAAGAACAGACAAAGGCACAACAGGAATCTATTCTCTTGACAGAGACCTAATAATAAAAGAAACTGTTCTGAACCATTCTCATTACTGCTTGGAAACTTTAATCTTGTGGTCTTAGTTCCTGCTCATGAAAACCTTCAGATCTCTTTATAAGCTACAGAAAGTGAAGGGAATGTTTGTAGTTGGATTATACAGTTAAACATTTTGGAGAGTTGGAGCCACGTTGGAATAGTGTTGTGATGTCCAGAGGAAGGGTTTTCCAAGCAAGGCAAGGCCCTGTCTCAATATAAGGAGAGTCACTGAGTTGATCCCAGGGCTGGAGCTCCTCTGCTCTGGATCAAGGCTGGAGAGCTGGGGGTGTTCACCTGGAGAAGAGAAGGATCCAGGGAGACCTGAGAGCCCCTTCCAGGGCCTAAAGTTCCTCCAGGAGAGCTGGAGAGGGACTTGGGACAAGGGATGGAGGGACAGGACAAGAGGGAATGGCTTCCCACTGCCAGAGGGCAGGGTTAGATGGGATATCAGGAAGGAATTGTTGGCTAGGAGGGTGGAGAGGCCCTGGCACAGGTTGGGCAGAGAAGCTGTGGCTGCCCCTGGATCCCTGGAAGTGTCCAAGATCAGGATGGACAGGGCTTGGAGCCAGCTGGGCTAGTGGAAGGTGTCTCCATGGCTGGGGTTGGAACAAGATGATCCTAAGTTCCCTTCCCACCCAAACCATTCCATGATTCCATGATTCCGTGATTCTATGAACATGCTGATGATTTGCCACAGGACATTCATTTGTATTTTGTAGGGAAGGGGAAATCTCAGAACACAAGAACTATAGTCCCATATTCACTTGTTCTATATTTCCATTAATAACTTGTGAAAAATGCCAGTCAGACTTTCAGTTGTCACCTTTAATGACCATATTTTTAATGCATAAATATATAAAATAAGCTCCACGTCACAAAGCCAAACCCTCCACAAGCCTTTCCATTCTTAAACCACAGCCTGTGCCTACCATCAGCCTGCTCTGGGGTCATCTGGTTGTCCTGCCCTCTCCTTCCAGTCTAAAGATGAGGCAGAGATGGAATTAACTTGGTAAATCACCAAAGGCAGAGGAGGTAACAGAGCAAGAAATTAATTTTGCCTTTCTCCACTCCTTTCCATCAGCTATTTCCAAGTCTTCTGGATGACCTTTGAAAGCCAAGACCTGGAAATCTTACAGAGAAGAATCAGTCAAAAGGCTAATTGATATGCAAGAGGCAACACTGGCCCTCAGAAAAACGTGGGTTTGCTGCTTAGGAAATGTGAAACAACCTCACAATCAACTATTTTATATAACTCAAAGCAGAAGACCAACTCCACGTGGAATACTTTTATATTGAATTGTTAATTTTTAAGATTTGTGATTTGTGTACGAGAGAAAAAGCTTCAGAAAGGTAGTGAGAGTTGTCTGGGTTATAAATTGGTTTAATCTGCTGTTATGTTCACTAAGCCTTCTAACTAATATCCTATAATAAACAGACATATTCATATTTTTTCTTAAATTACAGTCACCGAGGATAAACAAAGGAAACAACTCAAAGCAAAGCAAAATGACCTGCTTAGATGTTGAACCACAAGCCTATAAACTGCCCTGTTTTTAAGAAAATCATCGTTAGCAGCACATTTTATATGGTAATTGTACATCACCACTTTCTGAATAACAGCAGCAGAGTTTCTCCCTTCTGATTTCAGAGCCACTTGAGCTATGCAGATTTCTAAAAGCTTATGAATATACAGATAAACAGAATTGTTCTGAACATCTGTAAGCAAAATATGAAAAGATGTTTCGTGCTGAATGAACATCCTGGGCTGCCTAATGCTGGCCAAAAATTGGTGTATTTATGGATTAGGCAAAAGCCCTGAAAATAGCTCTGCACCCACTCCAGAAAGCCTTTTCAGATTGTCCTCTGTATGGCTGTCACCACGAAATGGAAGAAGAATTTTCCATTACGTTCTATTCAATTTCCAATCCTGTTCCAAACCTTCCCTTCCCAAACCTACCCAAACCTTCCCTTCCCTTACTATTCCATTCCATTCCATTCCATTTCTATTTCTATTCTATTCTATTCTATTCCTATTCCATTCCATTCCTATTTCTATTCCCTTCCCTTCCTTTCCCTTCCCTTCTCTTCCCTTCCCAAACCTTCCCAAACCTTCCCAAACCTTCCCTTCCCAAACCTTCCCTTTCTCAAACCTTCCCTTTCTCAAACCTTCCCTTCCCTTTATATTCCATTACATTCCATTTCTATTTCTATTCTATTCTATTCCTATTCCATTCCTATTTCTATTCCCTTCCCAAACCTTCCCAAACCTTCCCAAACCTTCCCTTCCCTTCCCAAACCTTCCCTTTCCAAACCTTCCCTTCCCAAACCTTCCCTTCCCAAACCTTCCCAAACCTTCCCAAACCTTCCCTTCCCAAACCTTCCCTTCCCANACCTTCCCTTTCCAAACCTTCCCTTCCCAAACCTTCCCTTCCCAAACCTTCCCAAACCTTCCCAAACCTTCCCTTCCCAAACCTTCCCTTCCCAAACTTTCCCAAACCTTCCCAAACCTTCCATTTCTATTCCATTCCATTCCTATTCCATTCCATTCCCATTTCCCTTCCCTTCCTTTTTTTTGTATTCCTTTCTATTTCTATTCCATTCTATCCTGTTCTACTCTATTCTATTCTATTCTATTCTATTCTATTCTATTCTATTCTATTCTATTCTATTCTATTCCATTCCACCTTTAATATCCTTTTTCCCATTTTTCCCTATTTCCACCAAGTTCCTGCCTTCTTGGCTCCTTGTGGCACTTCTGCACCATTTCTAAAGTGTCCATTATTTGTTTGTCTCTGACCATTTCACACCCTTTCCATCGAGCCCACGTGACAGTTTGTCACTGAGAACAAGCACCAATATCAGCATTTGGCATAAAATTGTTAACAAGAAAATAAACCAAAAGAAAACTTCCAGGTTGTTCCCCACAAGTCCTGGAAAGCAAGGATTTACTTCCACAGCAACATTAGTTGGCTGCCAGTGGTTCTGTGGTTTAGGCCACAGAAAGAAACTGTGTTGGGTTATTAGTGCTGCAGAATGAAAAATAAATGCAAGGGTTTGGCCTGAAAATGACGGGATGTTGTGCATTAAACTGTATTAAAAATTGACAAATTATTAATAATAACACAAATGAGGAATTGCTGATTTTTGTTCATACTCAGATACAGACAAAAGTAAAAGCAAAATTCACATTTTTTCTAAGGGTCACACTTTCAGCATTTGAAACAGAATTCCTGAAGAATTCTTTCTTTTGTTCACACATTAACTCATTAATTATTAGGAAGCAACAACGGGATGGGCAGACACAGATTTCAGGACAGTTTAGGGTGCAAAGCCAACACCAGGGTGGACCAAACACCACATTTTTTTAGTCACTGCAGCCACTCATTTAATCCCTCATAATCTGACAGGATTACACTTCCAATCCCCAAAAACCAAAGAGGAAGAGTTACCTGAGCAGACCTCCTTGTAGGTGGGGTTTGGGGTGTGACCTCCTGCATAACCCACTTGAGTGGAGTAAACTCCCTTCTGCCTCCAGAACTTCCTCTCAGCTCCCCAGAAACAGCCCATACCTGGATATGGCATAAAACACACACTGTCACATCAAAATCTGCCAATTAATCACTTATTTGCATATTAATTACACTCCACAGTGGAGGCAACATCTATAGGCAGCACCTGCTGGTCAAGTGTTTTCCAAGATTATTTATAGGGTAACTATATGGAAAAATCCATTCTGCATCAGAGCATGACACAAATAAAGCTGATTTATGCTTCTGAATATCAACATATCACCAAGGACAAACCTTGCAATGGTTCAAAGGCCCAAACAAGGAGAATTCTCAAGCACACACCAAAAAAAAGTTACTTAGAAGGCAGTTGTTCTATTTGTGCAGCACCATTTTTGCTCGAGTTGATTAGGAAGCTGTCAAAACACAATAATTTGTATTAATGGCAAACAGTTATTTCATTTTCTGCTTTCAGGCAGAGGTGGCAGCAATAATGGATTATATTATGGGTTATGCAAGAGGAAAAATGCTTCAGTTTAGCAATTTATTCAGGGAGATACTTGATGTTCACACGAGATTCTGGTGGTCGTTCGCCCACGTGGCCAATTATCAAAGGACATCAGGCTGACAAAGGTGTGAATTAGCAAAACTCTCCTGGTTAAAGGAATCAAGGAACAAACACAACCAACATTTTCAATTGTCTGATGGCTTAGTTAAATAAATGTTTAAGAGACTAATTATTAGATTATTCATTTAGGGTGTCGTGCCTGCTCCAGTGTTGTGAAGATGATTCCTGATTGTGTATTTTCTCTCTCAGCAATAACACACTGCCTGTTATTATTCCCTTTCCAAAACATTTGAAATAAAAGGCAGATAAAAATAAGCTAAATATTAAATACACTTAGAAATCAATGATCCATGCTGGGTTTTCTACCAGTAGCACTGAAGATTTGACAAGTTAAAAAATTACAGAAATGATCCTTCAAAGTACAACCAGAACCTTTCTCAACCTCGATGGCTCACAAAGGCCTGTTATTCCTTTGAATCTTCAGAGATTAACTTAAATTAAAGTTGTAATGGACCAAAAATTACAGAAGTAATGACTGGGATTTCTCCTAATTCAGGTGTTCAAGCAGGCTGCATAAATCAGGAGTTCAACCTGCTCCTGGAGGCTATGGAGAGAGGGAGGAACCTTCTGAGGACAGTTCAGCCCACAGAAGATATAAATTGATGATCAAATTAGTTATTCTCCCCTAATTACAGAGATCACTGGGGCTGTTAGGCTTGGATTCTTCAGGTAAATCAGCCTGGTGGCAATTTGTAGGATCCCTCTTGAAATTCCCTCCCAGTTTTGCTTCTGAACTTTGTTCCCAGAGGCTTGATCAGCGTGAAAAAGTCAAGAATCTGCATGTCCATGTTAAAGTGCTGGAAATGGCTGTTCCCTACTGTCAGAGAGTGAAACAGTTAATGGCTTAAACATTGTAAGATCACCACAAGACTTTTGTCCACTGCAGCAAACTGCAAAGAAGCAGCTGTTCACCCAGCAGAGCCCACCCTTCCCTGAACATGCCAACTGGGAAAGCACCTTCAGATCAGAGAAGTGGGTGCCACTGTCCAACTATCCTGGGTGCAGATGCACACCTGAAGCTACAAACTGCATTTCCAGATAAGGGAAGAAGGCTAAGAAAGGGCAAATCCTGTAAGGTGGGATAATCCTTCTTATCATACCAATGTCCTCCCTTACGTGATGACTCTGCTGCGAAAACCCCTCCTGGGAGCATCAAAGACTTGTGACATGTCCTGTGACGTGATCCACGATAAAACTCCCCACCCAGGGGAGGTACAAGGCATTCCCACCTGAGCTGCAAGTGTATAATAACTCAGGAAACCTTTGAGGTTTGGGGGGGGGGGGCTTCCCTCAGCCCCAACAGATCAAAACCACCCCTTCAACAAATAGACATGGAAGCTGCAACTCCCAAGTTTCATCACTGGATCCAGTGGGTGGTGACTATATATATCAGTCACCTTACATATATATATATATATCTCCTTATCCTTTCTTTCCCTTTCTCTCCCTTACACATTCTCTTAAGTGGTATTTTTATACTTTAATATTGCTATGCTTTAATAGTGCTATATTGCCATTTTTTATGTTGCTATATTGCTACAGATGCTTTAATATTGCTGTAGATGATAACACCCAAAACACCAACTTACCTGTTTACCTTTGAAACAAAACTGTCCTAAAATAAACCCTACATATATATGTTTACAAACACTGATTATTCAGTGTTGTTTCACTCTAATTCACCCCAAGGGATTTATTAATAAGAACCTGGGTCACCCTCCCCTTCTGGGGCAGGTCATAGCACCTACACACTCCACAGCACTCACTGTACTGCAGCAGGGATTTTGGCAGGATACATGGGATATTTTTACAAGGAACTTGCCCACAAACCTGTGTTCACGTGTGGTTTTACACGTATGTGTGAGAAATATGGATTAAAAGGTGCTTCCAGATTGGGTGTTAGGAGAAAATTCTTCACCAAAAGGGGTGAAGCCCTTCCCAGGACAGGGGTGGAATCCCCATCCCTGGAGGGATTTCAAAGCCATGTGGATGTGGCACTTGGGGACAGGGGTTAGTGGTGGCCTTGGCAGTGCTGGGGGATGGTTGGACTCGATGATCTCAGAGGGCTTTTCCAACTTAAACGACTCTCTGATTCCATGTTGATTTGACCTCGTGACCTCTGGATCCTCCTCAGAGGTTCTTTCCCTTTTCCCTCTCCCAGTTCATGTCTGAGCTCATCCTGCTGCCCTTCCCCTGAGAGACAGAGACATTTTATTCCCTTGCTGAAGCCTCCTCCTCATTTCTCTGCCACCTCACAGCAACAATAAATCCTCCCATCCACGGGAACAGATAAAATTGAAATCTTTGTCATAATAAAACAACCTGCTCCTAAAGAGACATAATTTACAACAATACAGCACTAAATTGCTTTTCCACAGGATTAATACAATCAGAGGCTGATGTTTGTTATTCTGCTAAAGTGGTGCCAGAGAAATTGTCATAAGGAGAGAAATATTAACAATAAAACCCCACATAATATTCCAGAGTTAAGACACGTGAGCTCATGGAGTGCCTGTTTTCCAGAGCACTGCCTGTCTTAAGCTATGGAAAGCATGGAGAACTACTAAAACAGGGAAATAATCGCAGTTCAAGACTTGTAGAACAAAAAGAAAAGTTGACTTTCCCTAATTATTACTACTTTAGGATGAAAACCGAAGAAATAAATAATTTAAATAATAAATTTAAATAATTAAATAAAACTCAGAGGGGGGGGGAAAAAAAGGGCAAAAAAACAGTAGGGAAATAAACATAAAAGCCAATAAGCCACCCCTGTTATAATTTGAAACTAGAAAATATGAATGTGATTTTAAACTATTCATGAAGGAATTTGCATAATCCCCAGTCCTGGTGAAGTGAGTGGAGCTTTGGAGTTAGATAGAGAGCTTCCAGAGGCATTCCTAAGAGAAAGGGAAGAAAGGAAATACTGGGGAACATCCTCACGTTCCCAGAAAGAAAAGTATTATTTGAACATAATGGGAATTGCAGAAGAGTGTTTGAGCATTGAAGATATTTGTCACTTTTTAATTGCTAATTTGCAAAATAAAACCTATTCTTTTAGTGATAGGTTTTGACTGACTCTTAATTGGAATTTCAAAAGGTACTTAAAGATTTCCTTTTTTTTGCTTTTTGAACTTTAAAACCAAACAGACTCAAACAGGAATCTTTAAAGGTTCAGTCATCCCTATAAATAATATTAATCATAAAATTGGGGGATAAATGATAGTACCCATATTCCTTTCTAGAATCCACATCCTTTTCCTCAAACTATTCTCTTTATGGTTCCTACACATATAGATCCTCTAAACACCTCTTTTTGTCAGCCATGTGTTTCCATGGGCAACCCAGAGTATTTTTATATTTCTAAGAAATAGTCACCATACAATTAAGTATTCTTCTAAAATAATGAAAACCAAGTGCTACTCTGATAAGACATAAACATCCCATTCTTGGAGATAATAAGTGGTGAAATATTCAGAGAAAAACTGAGCAGAATTGCCCCCCAGGTGATTCCAGAGAGGAACAGCTTTATGGACTGTGTTAAACACATGGACCAGGTCTGCACTGACTGCACAGGGGCTCAGACATTCAGAGATTAATTTATTTGCCTAAATGGAGACATTTGGGGTCATCTGAGATGCCTCAGGACACCCAAGACATCTGAATACACAAGGCTCACATAGATGAGACAGGAATTGGGAGAGACATGAGTCATTCCTGAAAGGCATCCTGAGGGCAGGGAAAATACTCCTGGACATTGGAAATGTAACTGTCTCGTGGAATCACATACTAGTTTGGGTTGGAAGGGACTTTAGGATCATCTCATTCCAATCCCTGCCATGGGCAGGGACACCTTCCACTAGCCCAGGTTGATCCAAGCCCCATCCAATCTGGCCTTGAACACTTCCAGGGATCCAGGGGCAGCCACAGCTTCTCTGCCCAACCTGTGCCAGGGCCTCAACACCCTCACAGCCAACAATTCTTTCCCAATATCCCATCTAACCCTGCCCTTCAGTGTGAAGCCATTCCCCCTTGTCCTGTCCCTCCATCCCTTGTCCCAAGTCCCTCTCCAGCTCTCCTGGAGCCCCTTTAGGCTCTGGAAGGGGCTCCAAGCTCTCCCTGGATCCTTCTCTTCTCCAAGTGAACCCCCCCAGCTCTCCCAGCCTCAATCCAGAGCAGAGGGACTCCAGCCCTTGGAGCATCTCTGTGGTTTTCTCTGGACTTGCTCCAGCAGCTCCACATCCTTCTGATGTTGGACCCCAGAGCTCCAGGTGGGGTCTCACCAGAGCATCCCATTTGCACTTTTTAAGGACAGAGAAACCAGTCCATACCCCACATACTGACATTACAAACCCCTGAAAGTCTCCAAATCTGAAGTTGAATCAGATCTCCCAAAACAAATCGATTTGTGTCTCGTTTCCCATTTCCCAGTTGCCCA